GTGGGGCGGGGGCAGGACCCAGGAAACAATGGGGGAGGGGGCGGGGGATCCTCGCCGGGGCCCCCCGCCCGGGTTTCGGCATCGGAAGCACTTTGGCGGCTCCTCGGGCCAGCCTCGGCGTTCTCGCCCCTCAGGTCAAGGGAGGGCAGCCGGTGCGGCGACCAGACAGGTCGGGCGATACGCTTCGTGCCAGCTGAGGGGACAACACGGGTGGGCAGGAGCCCCCTGCCACCTCCAGCCGGAAATGGGGGGAAGGGGACCTGCAGACCCACCCCACCCCACGTCCGACTAGCGAGGGTTGTGAACTAAAGTTCCGCCCAGGGCCGCGCGGCACCTGTAAGGCCGGCGGGAGCGTCTCCCTTCCCTGAACTCAGCCAACACCACCAGAAGTGGCTTCTGCCGGGGGACCCCAGCAGGCCCAAACGAGGGGCGACAGAACGCGAGGTGACACGGGCCCAGGAGCCTCCAAGAGCCCGGGAACAAACGCGCACGAGGGAGGGGGCCGCCGCTCTGGAGGGACCTTTACCGGCGCACGCCGGTTCCAAGCCTCGCCCCGGCCGCGCGCGCCCGCTCGCCCCCCCCGCCGCGCCCAATCCAATCAGCGCTGGCCATCGCCTTAGCAACAGGCTAACAAACGCGGCTCCACCTATTGGCGGCCGCGGGGGCGGGGCTTTCGCCGCCAGGCTAGTTTGAGAGCTCCCAGTTTCAAGTCATTGAAACTATTCCAGGCGGAGAGCTCGTCCGCGCGTTGCAAGGCTCGGGGGTCAGCTCGAGGGGTGCAGGGCACTTAGTTTTCTTTCACAGGAAATCGTGGTGCCATCAATGAAATTACGTCTGTCTCCAAAACTCATTGTTCTACTTTCCCCGCACTGCAAGTCTCGACTCTTTAAAGAAAAAAAAAACAAAACAAAAAAACACACCTTTGTTTCTTCTCACCCATCTTATAAAAGGCTGCAACGATCAGAAAGGTACAAACACATAGTCATGTGTCTGCTTTTCAATAGATAACCAGGACTGTCATTAGGCATCTGCGTTTCCTATCAGTGTGAACGCTCGGAGAGACCAACTAGCAATTATTTCAAGATGCATACCACCTATGAACCTATGAAAACCCTGCTAAAGCACTGATTTCCCCCTTAATAGTCTCAGAAATAAGGCATCTGGGCAGGCTCCCAAAGCATCCTTCATTTCTCACTTGCCTTAGTTCAATGAGCACTTCGCCAGCATGTGCATTTGTAATATAAAGAAGGTAAAAATATGTCTATTCTTCCTGAAAAATCGCCAACATCTAAACTAAATACTGCATTAAAAAGGAGAAGCACAAAAATTACATAACCAGTTTTAACATTATATTTTTCTTGGGCTAGGAATTAAGTCATCGCCACCACCTGACGCGTGTAACCAATCTGCTGAGAGCAGAACAAGCGCCCCTCCTCACCACCCCCCAGAACTGGTCCGAAACAGGATTGAACCGCTTCTAACAAAGGGTGGAAACTTAGAAAAACAAGCTTAGAGTCTCCTATATTTCCACAATGTAGCTGTTTAAACAATAGGTTGGGAATCTCAGGACTCTTTCTCTCCTTGACAACCCTTTATCTTCCTCTGCTAACCAAAAATCAAATCCAGTGCGCCGTATACTTTTCAATTCCACTTGACTGGCATGGGTTTCATTGAATGCACGTTCCAAAGTTAGACGTGATGTTCGGAAAAGAAAATTACTGACCCTGAACGGCTTCTAAAACTGACTTGATACCTACCGTAAGGATAGGTGCTGTTCTTTAAAATAGAGAAGGCTTGATGTAAAATTTTAAAGGGATCGGAAAGAATAGGCAAAAAACACGTGGGGTGTTGATACCATATGTCAAAATAAGCCACGGAAATCCTTTATCAAGGAACAATGATCAAATCTTGAAAGTCTTTTGCGTTTCCACATTAAAAATGAAACAACACCTATGAAGCCTCTTAAAGATGTTATTCCATTTCTTGATGGGAGCTCAGATCGATGCAAAGTAAAAGGAAGAGACCTAACATTGGCTGCAGCCTTTACCAATTCCGTTGAAAATATATTAATAGAGTGACTGCATCGGATTTAAACAATGTCCAAGATAGGTGCAAGTGGACTGCGAGTGCGTGTGGCACCGACCAAGCCGGGCACAGAGGTAGTTAAGTGCAGTTTGCAGTCACTTTGCAGATGCCTGCAAGCATTACGGCTCGACACACGATGAACGTCAAGGAGAATCCAGACCTTCCAACTTTGCTAACCTTTGTCAAACTGCCGTGTTCTGCTAGGAGGAGAATCGCGTTAATTCAGAAAACTGAAAAGGCACTTTTCCGACAAAAATAAGTCGAGTGACTTCTGAAGAGCATACAAACTTACCTCTTTCGTGCCCAATTAAGATGTCTTTGTGGTTGAAATATTCTACTTCTTCAGTGTAATTCTGTGTATAGGCAGTATTGGAACCGGCGTTTCGAGATTCAGTCCAGCGTACTTTCGCATGTCCTCTTGCATGAATTTTAAGCGATTTCACTCTGATTTCCCCAGTAACTTCTAAATTCACCCTTCCTGAGACTGTATCCCCGCTAGAATAGACGGGGACATTGCTGTCATTAAGACAGTCAAAGCTTATTGTCAAACTCTTCACCTTTCCCAGCACCATGTTTATAACAAAAATCTATAAAAATATAATGTAAGAACACAAAAAAGTCAAGATCGCATATAAAATGCGATCTTTCCTCAGCGCTGATCGATGTCTTTGCCGTGCAGAACGCTTGCAGGCCGGACCAGCGATTCTCTACAAATAGTTCATTGAGATTTCTTCAAAAGTCAGGGCAGCAGAGGCTGCTGCTCCGCGCTCCCGACCGTCTCAGTGGTCTCCTTACAAAGACGGGCGCTGGAGGCTGCCAGCTCACTTTAAGAGCAGCTTTGTGAAAAACAACCCCAGTGCGCAGGCGCACGCCGCGGTGCGGTCCGCCCTCCTGCGCGCGCCCGTCCTCGCGCGCGCGCTCCCGCTCCCCTCCCCTCCCCTCCCCTCCCTGCGCGCTCGCTCGCTC